TTATATAATCATAAAAATATTCAACTTGCATTAAGTTGAGTGAGGAGAAAACCAAAAGGGAAGAACATGCTCGGCATCTCTTAAAGTAAAAGAATTTAGGAAAAAATTTAAGCCTCAAATTGCAATATTGAAAGATTCTATGGGAAAAATATTGAATGATGCAGGAAACATCAAAAGAAGATGGAAGGAATACACAGAATCATTGTACCAGAAAGAACTGGTAGATCGTCTTCCATTTCAGGAGGTGGCATATGATCTAGAACCAATGGTACTGAAAGAAGAAGTCGAAGTTGCAATGTAGGAATTGGCGAAGAACAAGGCTCCAGGAATTGACTGAATACTCACTGATATATTTCAACAAATGTATGCGCCACTGGAGGCACTTACTCAGTTATGCCAGGAAATTTGGAAAACAGCTACCTGGCCAACTGATTGGAAGAGATCCATATTTATACCCATTCCAAAAAAAGGTGATCCCACAGAATGTGGAAATTATTGAACAATATCATTAATATCACACGCAAGTAAGATCTTACTGAATATAATTCAAAAACGGTTGCAGCAGTATATTGACAGAGAACTTCAGAGGTGCAAGCTGGATTCAAGAGAGGACGTGGAACAAGGGTTATCACGGCTACTGTCAGATGGATCTTGACTCAAGGCAAAGAATACCAGAAAGATGTGTAGTTATATTTTATTGACTATGCAAAAGCATTTGATTGTGTGGATCATAATAAATTGTGCATAACATTGAGAAGAATGGGAATTCCTGAACACTTAATTGTACCGAGGAACCTGTACATTGACCAGGAGCGTGTTGTTTGAGCTAAACAAGGGGATACTGCATGGTTTAAAATCAAGAAGGGAGAGTATCAGGGTTGTATCCTTTCCCCATACTTATTCAATCTATATGCTGAGCAAATAATCCGAGAAGCTAGACTATATGAAGAAAAATGTGGCATCAAGATTGGAGAAAGAATCATTAACAACCTGCGATACGCTGATGACACAACTTTGCTTGCTGAAAGTGCGGATGACTTGAGGCACTTACTGATGAAGACTGAAGAATACAATCTGCAGTACAGATTACATCTCAATATAAAACAAAAAATCTCACAAGTGGACCTATAAGCAGCATCACGATAAATGGAGAAAAGATTGAGGTTGTCAAAGAATTCACATTGCTTGGTTCTACAATTGATATCAATGGAAGCAGCAGTCAGGACATTATGTGACGTGTAGCACTTGGCAAGTTGGCTGCAAAGGACCTCTTTCAAGTGATAAGGAGCAAAGATGGCTCCAGGCCACAAAGGTGCACCTGACACAAGTCATGATATTTTCAACTTCCTCATATGCATGTGAGAGCTGGACAATGAATAAGGAAGACCAAAGAAGAGTTGATGCTTTGAGTTGTGGTGCTGGTGAAGAATACTGAAAGTACCGTGGACTAATAGATCTCTCTTGGAGAAAGTGCAGCTGAAATGCTCCTTGGAAGGGAGAATGGCCAGACTTCGTCTCACCTACATTGGTCATGTTGTCAGAAAGGACCATTCCTTGGAGAAGGATGTCATGCTTGGTAAGGTGGAGGGTCAATAAAAGAGGAGAAGGCCTTCGACGAGATGGATTGACATGGTGGCTGCGACAGCTCAAGTATAGCAAGGATCATGGAGCTTATATGGGATCGGGCAGTGTTTTGTTCTGCTGTGCACAGGGTCACTGAGTTGGAAACGACTCGGCGGCACATAACAACAACAACAACAACATTAAGTTGGAAAAGATGTATTTCCATTTATTTATGCATGGACTCATCC